ATGCATCAGAAAGATGGGATAGGTTACACGGTTTTTATCACAGATGTAAACTGGAAGCTTCTTACAAAGGACTTCAAAATCGATTAACAACAAATCGATCTTCCATTTATGAGCCAATGAAGACAAGCAAACTGTACAATGAGCTCGAAAAACCATACATGCTGCTAAGCTTTTATAAACACACTCCACAGAGGAGTTTGTTTGGGAAGATATCTCCTTGATGGAGAAAGGCTCGTTAGTGAATCGAAACTGAACTAAGGAGGATTATTGCACGAAAAGCATTCGTCAGCTACCTTTAACTCCTAGACAGGAGCATATGATGTATGTGTTTATGCTATTTTCAATCCTCAACCCACACTAGTCATTGTAGTATTGAGCTTCCTCTGTTCGGATGTCGGGCACCATGCTCGATGTCTTGCTTGTTGTCTTGCTCAACATAAACCTCCTTCTTGGCTACTGGCGGATGTCAGCCATTATGGGATGTGGAGCTCGACATCAGCTCTGGAAATGTGCTTCTTTGGCTCTCCTTGACCGGAACACATCCTTGGTTCACCCCCATTGCTCCCACATCCTTCCAATAGCGCCAAAGGTGCCTGAATATACTCCAAATGCAAGAAAAATGCAAAATATATCCTAGATGCAACCTATGTCCATACGATAAGGAAAATGGGACAAATGATAAGGAAAACATGCAAGAAGAGACCAAAACATGTACTAAATGCAAGCTTAAATGGTATAAATATATGGGATATCAACTCCTCCACACTTGCCTTTTGCTTTCCCTCAAGCAAACAAGGACAAATGAGAGAGAGAGGTTTGAAAGTGGGAGCTCAAAACTAAAGATGACAATGGAAGAACTGATTTAATACCTAAGTTATAGGTTCTAAGATGCAAAGAGATTGTTCTACTTCAAAAGCTTTACACATACCTATCATAACAAACAATGAACTCAAGTTTAGCCTACACAAGTATTCAAATCAATCAACCCTTCAACATTAATTAGTAGTAACCAGTGGATCTTGCTCATGTAAATCGAGTGAAAGCATTTGGTGTTAGAATTTGCGGAATAATACTTAGAGAAATGAAGAATGGGTGAAGAACATGAAAGAGAATGAGAGAGAATGAATTAAGGATGATTATATTTCCTTAAGTTAAGTTGTTACATTTGATAGATACCACCTATTTATAGAATATAGATGTTGTAAGCTAATGGCTACAAAAGGGAACACAATAAGAATAAACAAAAGTGTAGATCCCAAAGGTGAAAGTGACTGGTCATGCTTGACTTCCAACGTCCATATGCTTAAAAAAAACATGTGACCTTATCTTCTTGCTTCCTTAGGCATATGACCGTTGTAGTGGTTGACTAAGATCAATTATATTCCTTGTCTATGACTGTTGCTTCCTTGTATATCACTCTTGCTTCCTTAGTGTGTACTCTTCCTTGAATGTCACGGTGATGAGTATGTACGAACACCTCTTCTAGGTTGATCATTTTGACATTTGGTTCAAGGACATGGCTAAGAGATGAAAATGATCTCTTTTAAAGTGGTTTTCAGATACAAGGGATCTCTCTTTGAAGGAATGAACTTTGGCAAAATGTTAAGGGTAAAGCTCAATCCATGCATACAAGGATAAACTCTCATCTACCAATTGCCTATAATGTATTAAACCCCAATTTTAATACCAATAAATCATATCCTAATATACCCTTTTCAATAGGCTTTTGCCTCTTACAAACATCCCCATACTTAGGCATCTCTGATATCGTGTGGCGATTTGGCGGAGTTGAAATCATTGAAGAGGTGCCTTAGTTGTTTCTCTCTCTCTCTCTCACACTCTCTCTCTCTCTCACTCTCTCTCTCTCTCTCTCTCTCTCTCTCTCTCTCTCTCTCACTCTCTCTCCCTCTCTCTCGGGTAAATGCCGTAAAATGTTATATTGTCACCAGATCAACTCGGATTGTGGGGGACAAGAAGACACAAAGACATCCCATGTTTGACGAGACGCAGATGTAAGACAGGCGTTTGGCGGACTGATGGCGAACATATATTCCTCACACAAGCGAGAAGCAGAGGCTTCGCAGACTCACTTCACCTTTGACTACTACTCTGATATCGTATGACGATTTGGCGGAGTTGAAGTCCTTGAAGAGGTGTCGTAGTTGTTTCTCTCTCTCAGGGTAAATGCCGCAAAAATGTTATATTGTCACCAGATAAACTCGCGTTGTGGGGGACAAGAAAACACAAAGACATCCTATGTTTGACGAGACGCAAACGTAAGACAGGCGTCTGGCGGACTGATGGCGAACATATATTCCTCCCGCAGGCGAGAATCAGAGGCTTCGCAGACTCACTTCACCTTTGACTACTACTCTGATATTATGTGGCGATTTGGCGGAGTTGAAGTCATTAAAGAGGTGCCGTAGTTCTCCCTCTCTCTCTCTCTATCTCTCTCTCTCACTCTCTCTCTCTCTCTCTCTCTCTCTCCCTCTCTCTCTCTCTCTCTCTCTCTCTCTCTCTCTCTCTCTCTCGGGTAAATGCCGTAAAATGTTATAGTGTCACCAGATCAACTCGGGTTGTGGGGGACAAGAAGACACAAAGACATTCCATGTTTGACGAGACGCAGATGTAAGACAGGCGTTTGGCGGACTGATGGCGAACATATATTCCTCACACAAGCGAGAAGCAGAGGCTTCGCAGACTCACTTCACCTTTGACTACTACTCTAATATCGTATGACGATTTGGCGGAGTTGAAGTCCTTGAAGAGGTGTCGTAGTTGTTTCTCTCTCTCAGGGTAAATGCCACAAAAATGTTATATTGTCACCAGATAAAGTCGCGTTGTGGGGGACAAGAAAATACAAAGACATCCTATGTTTGACGAGACGCAAACGTAAGACAGGCGTCTGGCGGACTGATGGCGAACATATATTCCTCCCGCAGGCGAGAAGCAGAGGCTTCGCAGACTCACTTCACCTTTGACTACTACTCTGATATTATGTGGGATTTGGCGGAGTTGAAGTCATTAAAGAGGTGCCGTAGTTCTCTCTCTCTCTCTCTCTCTCTCTCTCTCTCTCGGGTAAATGCCGTAAAATGTTATATTGTCACCAGATCAACTCGGGTTGTAGGGGACAAGAAGACACAAAGACATTCCATGTTTGACGAGACGCAGATGTAAGACAGGCGTTTGGCGGACTGATGGCGAACATATATTCTTCCCACAAGCGAGAAGCTGAGGCTTTGCAGACTCACTTCACCTTTGAGTACTACTCTGATATCGTGTGGCGATTTGGCAGAGTTGAAGTCATTGAAAAGGTGTCGTAGTTGTTTCTCTCTCTCAGGATAAATGCCGCAAAAATGTTATATTGTCACCAGATAAACTCGCGTTGTGTGGGACAAGAAGACACAAAGACATCCTATGTTTGACGAGACGGAAACGTAAGACAGGCGTCTGGCGGACTGATGGCGAACATATATTCCTCCCGCAGGCGAGAAGCAGAGGCTTCACAGACTCACTTCACCTTTGACTACTACTCTGATATCGTGTGGCGATTTGGCGGTTGAAGTCATTAAAGAGGTACTGTAGTTCTCTCTCTCTCTCTCTCTCTCTCTCTCTCTCTCTCTCTCTCAGGTAGATGCCACAAAAATGTTATATTGTCACCAGATCAACTCCCGTTGTGGGGGACAGGAAGACACAAAGACATCCCATGTTTGACGAGACGCAGAGCAGACTGATGGTGAACATATATTCCTCCCGCATGCGATAAGCAGAGGCTTCGTAGACTCACTTCACCTTTGACTACTACTCTGATATCGTGTTGCGATTCCGCGGAGTTAAAGTCATTGAAGAGGTGCCGTAGTTGTTTCTCTCTCTCTCTCCCCCTCGGGTAAATGCCGCAATAATGTTATATTGTCACCAGGTCAACTCGGGTTGTGGGGGACAAGAAGACACAACGACATCCCATGTTTGACGAGGTGCAGACGTAAGACACGCGTCTGGCGGACTGATGGCGAACATATATTCCTCCCACAGGCGAGAAGCAGAGGCTTCACAGACTAACTTCACCTTTGACTACTACTCTGATATCGTGTGACGATTTAGCAGAGTTGAAGTCATTGAAGAGGTGTCGTAGTTGTTTCTCTCTCTCAGGGTAAATGCCGCAAATAAGTTATATTGTCACCAGATAAACTCGGGTTATGGAAGACAAGAAGATACAAAGACATCTCATGTTTGACGAGACATAGACGTAAGACATGCGTTTGGCGGACTGATGACGAACATATATTTCTCTCGCAGGCGAGAAGCTGAGGCTTCGCCAACTCACTTCACTTTTGACTATTATACTATTTTGATATATTGTGATGATTTGGGCAGTCGAACTGATTCACGACGAAGAATTTTTTCTTCTGACGATTTGGCGAGACCTCAAAAACTATGTGTTGTAGTTTGATTATCACTACACAAATTCGCTTTGTACATGCCAGTTTAGCATAATCGATTGATGAGAGCATTCTAGATTTGAGAATGAGGTGGCAACACGTGTAAGTATATAGAAAAACGTGTTTTTTGGTTGGCGGTTCTAATATAAACATATATCAATTTATTCAAGATAATCGATTAATAAATGGCAACTTTGTTATTATTTTAAAAATGATTGGTTAAACGGTATTTTTCCGTAAAAATTAGACTCTTTCTGACAATATTTCCAAACAGAAATCCTGGATCCAAATGCATTTGTACCATAGTTGATAGTTGCTCCTGGATCCAAATGCATTGAAGTTTTAAAGTATCTAATGGGTGAATAGTGACCTTACTGTTTACATAAATGCATGTGACTGACGTGATACAACTTGTGAACATTGTTTTAAACATATTATCTCCTTTCTCTGCAAGTGACTTGATAAAGCCAAGGTGATGGCTAAGGCTTAGAATAAAAACATATTCAAATTTATTTTGTTATATGAAAACGGAAACTCTATACACGAGTAGAAAGAAGTGTGTCAAATTCCATTGTCATAAGGGAATGAAGTACTGCCTAACCAACCATCGCCGGTTATAAACTCCGTTGCCGTGAAGTTAAACGCATCTTCATAACTCATAATGTGATAACCCGACCAGTTGATCCGCTTACCCGTTTCAGAACCCGGCCCATTATTATTGTACTCGCCATAATAAAGAGTATCAAGTCCCTCGCCATCGGACCATTTGGACCAACCTGAACCATCAATAAACCAATCAATAAAAGATTCCATTACAACTGTTCTCGAATATCCTCTCCATGGACGTCCCAAATAACTCTTGACTCTGTTCGAATTGTTAAATAATTCTTCCGTTGCAAGGATGGAGCAATTCTGCATCGAGATCCCGGTGTCTTCGTCTGGACTATCCCTTGCTTGAGCCGTAACAACAGTGAATTGTCCCGGCATAGGCAGCTTTGAAACAATGTTGCAGCCTTGGAAGACCACGGCCGCGTTCCCAAAGATATAATCGATGGTTCCATATATGTCGCATTCACGGTAGAACTGTCGGAAGGAGTGAGTGTAAAGTGTGTCCTGGTAACCGTCAACGACACATCGGTATAAGGCCACGAAATCCGCGTTCACTCGTAATGCAACCGCTTGGTGCTTCTCGGGTCCTGCTGTGTTCATTACTGTTATATCCCTCGCGAGGAATCCTTCCCCAGAAACAGCTGTGACGAAGAAAGTTTAATTATGTGAGAACCATTATAATCTTGTTTTTCTTACAAAAAAAAAAAAAAACATTTATAATTGACATTATTTTATGTACAAGCGAGAACCATTATAATCTTGATTTATAGATTTTAGTTGATATAGAAATTCACCTAAGTTTTGGAAAATTTGACTAATTAAAATAAACATGTGGATTTTTAAATAACAAAGTTTACCTATTTAAATGTTTGTATTTTAATTTTAAACATTTACAAATCAGTTAAGGTGTACTGTGAAATTAAATCACCTTCAAAATCATATAAGAAATCGTAAAATTCATAAATCAAATTTCAACTAAGTTTTAAAGCCACGACCAATGTTTTCCTAAAGCCACGACCATGACTATGAGGCTTTAAATGCTAATTTTAATACAGAAAGAAATTGCTAATTTTTAATTTCATTGAATGCTCTCATAACAAATATCGAAATTAAAATTTCGGCAGTCCAGTTAACAAACAAAAAAGCACTCCACGGTCCTAAATTTATACTATGTCCCATAGCACTTATATTTTGTTTTATTCAAACACGATCTTTATAAACAAAAAGTCAAAGAATATATACCAAGAGTAGCAGATCGGAAAGTGGTCCATCCATCTCCAACGCTTCGATTACCGGTAACAAATGTAAGATCAGACCCATCTCCGATAAGAACAATATTAGTCTTGTAACTAGGAATATCTAAGTTTTCGTTATACTCGCCTTCTCTTACATATATTAGCACCCTATCGTTGCTCATACTCGGAGCAAAGCTTATAGCATCATTAATGGTTGTAAAATTCCCTGTTCCATCAGCTGCTACAGTGAGGATCTCACTCGGATCGTACTCATCATACCCATCACTGGAATCTTCTAAAAACCGGCGATCTTTTTGAGAGACCCAATCGGGAACTAACCCAAGTAACCGGCGGTTCTTAGTCTTGTTGCCACCGTTGGCTTTTCTCCTTTTCGGAAGAGCAGAGAGAGAGTTGCTTATGTGTTTGTAAGTGGTTATGAAGGAGATCACGAGCTTTGGCTGTAGTGGACCAGTGGCTGATTGAAGACCTTCCAAGCAGGTGTTCTTGTTTGTGAGAGCGGCGCTAAGATAAGCTCTAGCGTCGGCTACCTTCCGCGAATCATTCACACCGTCTTGAATCTTGGTGAGTGATCGTTTCAAGAAGGAAGAAGTGATATGGTGAAGATCTTTGCAGTCTTGAAGAGAGCCACGTTGTCCCTCGATGAGGTTGTTGGAAATTCCGGCGCCAGAGAGGAGATCCGTGAGTTTTCCAGCTTCGGAAAGAGCTGTTTTGAGTGTTTGAAGGAGGAAAGAGAGAATGTTGGGACTTATGTTGATGGAGAGGGAGAGTTTTAATGAGTGGAAACATGCGTCTGGATATGGTGTGTTCTTGCAGAAACTTGCTGCGGAGATTTGATTAGGGTTTAGAAAAAACGGAGACGAGTATGATAAAATTGAAGGAGTGAATAGGAGGAAGAATAGAAAAGAGAAGTTGAGGGAAGAGAGAGCCATTGGAGAAGAACAATGATTAAGCAAGTGGAGAAGAGAGTAGTATGTTTCTAAATCTAGAGAGGAATGTATTTACTTCGAGTCTTGTAATGCGAGAAATCAATATCTTTATTTTAGGCATTTTTCTACTCAGATCGATTATTTGTGTTTAATTATATCTAGAATTCGGAGAAAACGATGTGCTGATTGCCGTTTTAGTTTTGGTTTGATTTTGTTTGTTATCATGTGGGTTACTATATTTTAATAAGATCTGTAGTCCGTGACAGAAATAATATCACTCATATATATACTTTAGCTAACTACGAGGAACTTCAGCTCCAAATCAGTGGAGATGTTTTCACGGATGTTTATCGCATTAGGACTTTCCGGTCTAGTCACTTTCTAATTAAATTTAAGCAAATTTTGAGAATTTTCAGACCATGTTTATGTGTTTAATCATGTTTTTTTTTAACTGGAAATGCTTCATATATTAAAAATTAATTTTAAAGATATTGGATTTATGAGCCACTTACTCTAGAAACATTGAATTTACATGAAGAATATCAAACTGTAGGTTTAGGCGTTTTTAGCAAGATGATCAGTCCGAACATTAAGAGAACATGAGGTAAAAACTATTGAAAGATTGTGAAATTTTGGGCGCAGAAAGTTTAGTTCTTCAAGTTTCGTTGCTACTACTGGTCATTTCTCCTCCTCTTCAATCAAGTTTACCAACTGTAAATAGACAATCTTAATCATCAATCCAGAACTCTGTAAAGGAATCAAAACTCTCATAGCCCACACGAGTGCTTCAAATTTGGCATGTATAGGTGAGATAGACTGTTCTGTTGCTGTAAGCCCATATAAGTGGCTACCATCTGCCGAATCAAGTACAAGACCTCTGCTTGCTGTATGCCCATCCTTAACCTAGGAGGCATCCACTTGGCAGCGCGGAACCAGCGGTCTATTATCCATAAGCATAGTCAGCATCCTTACTAATTGCGTGCTTAGCACCTGACTGGTGATTGAGATTTCTCTAATCTCTGAGACCTTCTGTACTACTTTCCATGATTCCACTTCTTGCATAGCTTTTGCCATCAATTATGTACTCTTTGAGTGCCCTCCAGCGCTACAAAACATGAGGTTATCATGTTGGCTGACTTTGTAAGGACTTCTAGAAGGTTGATGGCAATTTTGAGTATCTTTACAGATATAACCAATCCCCAAGAATCATCTCAGTCAATCCATTAATCCCTACAAATCCGTCCTCATTAGTTTTAGATTTTGTAGTTAGGGCCATATCTTCAATATGGGCTCTTAGATCAAGTTGATCCTCACCATCTATCTTGGAGGTGTTTTTCTATAAATAAGGGTGGGATCCCTCATTTGTAATCACTCACCCATTCTTTGAATAAGAGAGCATTACAAAGATTTCCCTTCTTCTTTAAAAATTATGTCTAAAAAGGGTCGGGTTTTCTTGTGAGTCAGGCTACCTAGTCTATTTGCTGGGGCAAAGAGAGGCTAGGACCACACGGTTTTGATCCCAAATATCAAGTCCGTGACAGACCTTTCAAGCAATTCTATGTCCTCGACGGGTTCTAATTCAGAGACAAGCGGTTGTGCATTTCCCAAGGTTCTATGAGAGAACTCATGCTTAGTGAAGCTCACGGTGGTGGGTTAATTGGACATTTCAGTGTGGACAAGGCATTAGGCGTTGTCGTAGAACACTTCTATTGGCTCCATCTTAAAAGAGACGTTGAGAGGTTCTGTAGCCATTGTATCACATGTCATAAAGTCAAGTCCAGGTTACATACCCATTGTAACAACAGTTCCAGCGGGCACAACGTTAAAGAGGCAGCGAGGTCTTGAGGAGGATCCCCGAGAAGGCAATATGGAGGTCAAGTTGACCCCTCCAACATTTGTCGGCAACTCAAGCCCTGATGTCTATCTAGACTGGGTGAGGAGGCTCGAATACATCTTTGACTGCTACGGCTATGGAGATCGTAAGAAAGTGGCCTTACCAGCCGCTCAATTCACCGACAACGCTATTACTCAGTGGGATAGGAACGTGGCTGAGAGAAGACATAACCGTTTCGCTGCGGTTACAACATGGCGTGACGTGAAGTTTCTACTATGGTCGAGGTATGTTCTTGATTCATATCATCGAGACTTATAGAAACATTTTAGGAAATTTTCGCAGGGAAGAAGGACTGTAGATGAGTATTTCGAGGAGTTTGAGAAGCTTATGAACTTGTTAGAGCTAGAGGAGTCCGAGGAAGCTCTAATGGCTCAGTTCATAGATGGGCTACACGAACATATTGCTAGGAAGGTCGACAGAACGCACTACAGCGTAATGCATGAGCTTTTGGACCTCTCGGTACAAATAGAGCAGCAGAACAACCGAAAGACTAGGCTAACAAACCGGAGCTGAGCCCTCCACCATGGACGGCCAGTGGTTCTAAATTGGTGGACAAAGGAAAGGCCGTGGAGGCTGATTCCCGATTTAAAAGCAAGGCCTCGGAGCCCCCTAAAACATCTCAGGCAGAGCGTAGTAAGTTCCCTACTACTTTAAGGACTCGTGAGATCAAATGTTTTAAGTGTCAGGGACGTGGTCATATGTCTTGGGAATGTCCCAACCAATGCGCTATGATCTTAACCCTGAGTGGAGATTATGAGTCCCAAGACAAAAGCGATGATGAACCAATGGAGCTAGAAGGAGAGGTGGATTATCCTGACACCAAAGAGCTACTTGTAAATAGGAGAGTTCTTAGTGCTCTAGTTATGCCAGAAGAGAAGGTGCAGCGTGAGAATATCTTCCATACCAGATGCACCATCTGCAACAAGGTATGTAATCTCATAATAGATGGAGGTTCATGTACTAATTTCGCTTCAAAATATATGGTGGATAAGCTAGGGTTGGAGAAAACTAAACACACGAAGCCTTACAAGCTGAGATGTCTGAATAATCAAGCTGAGCTAAGGATTGCCGAGAAAGTTACTGTGGAAGCCCGACCCAGCAAACTATACCGCAGCCGTACCCCACTACATCCTAACAGTTCGGTTCTATACTTCGCCAAATTTTTAAACTTTTTCTTTCATTTAACCAATACACAGCGGATTCAAAACAACTTCATTTCATTTATTAAACTTGAATAAAGCACTTAAACAAGATTCAGGGTTAACTTAAACAAAACACAAATGTTCGCTAATGAATACATCATATCATCTAGCAACCTAAAACGCTTAACACCAAAGCCCGTAAGACAAAACACACATCTTAAACATAAATAAACACCCAATCCCCGATCCATCCATGTTCACCACTGTCGCCGGTCTCGCTCCCTTTACTGCTTAGTACCTGCACACTCAAGAGAGAGGCATAAGTATTTGATAAATACTTAGTGAGTACGGTCATCCCGTAATACCTGGTCAGTACCAATCACACATTCATACTATCGGATTCAACAACCCATACAATGAATTCGCAATCTACGTAAAATATATCAAACGGCCATGATAATCTAACCTAACCACCCAAGATCAATCCCTTTTTAAGACCCATGTCTACTTCAGCAAGAATCCCACATCTCCTAAGCTCGAACATGATCCGGATTACCTGAGGTTAGCTAGACAACATCTATGCCACGGTAAATACATCACAATACCATAACACATAATCGCTTAACAGTTCTAAACACACAACATGACAATCATACAATCAAACATGCAAAACATTCAAACCTAGCAATCCAACGATCCTAGACACCAACCACAGTCATGCACTCACTTTAGACAAGGCTAGAAACAGATTGGTCAGAAGAAATCCCGATGAAATCCGTGTGAAAACGAAGATATCTGATCACCCTAGGAATCTCTCGGCTCTCGGTACGATCCGATCCCTTTCCCTTCGGTTATCTCTCGATCCAGTCACCTTTCTCCAAGCGAAACTCTGTTTTCCCTCGGAAACCCCACAAAACACGACTATTAGCTCGAGGTTATCCGATACACAAAGGGAAATATCTGATCGCTTACTAGTTTATCTCGGTGATGGTCAGATCTATACGGTGATTCTTCAATCTCTCTCGGCTATCCTCATTATAAACTCTCTTTTCTAGGGTTTTCTCTCGACTAAACTCTCTCTTTGCTTTATTTATCTCAAATAAACGTAACACCCCCAAGCTAAGTCTCAAAAACACCTTATATACTCGCAAAATCCTAAGTAACTCGGTATAAACCATCGTTTCCCGGTTCCAGTAGGAGGATTTATCCCGATCCGATTAGATTTTTTTTGGCTATCACCCGTACCAAACTCTACCATCCGCATGACAACCGCATATAAGCCGACCTAACATCCTTGGCCCACGGCCCAGTCCACTTTCTCTCGGACAATTTTCTTTTTCTATCGGATAACCGCCTTTATCCGAATTATTTCCCTTTTGTCCGGCCATTTTCCATTTTTCACCCGTATATACTCACTTCCTCGGCTAACTTTCCTTTTTCCCTCGGACACAGACCACTGTCACTCGGACTAACCCCATTCTCACTCAGATTAATCCCATTTCTAACGGACTGGACCATTTTCCCTCAGATATGGTCCATCCGGCTCGGCTATCCCAACCATCCATCCGACTATTTCCCAGTCATCACCCGACCATAGTCTGAACTTCCCAGTTCCCAGCCAATATCCGTCCTTGGCTCGATCATTCCTCGGACAATGCCCTGTCCAGCCTGATCATTCCGAATTCTCTCGGATATGGATGCTACAGTTACCATCCCATTCAGCATCGGCACGTACCAAGACGAGGTGACGTGTGACGTCGCAATGCAAGCTGGGCATCTTCTGCTGGAAAGGCCGTGGCAATTTGATCGGTCAACAAGCCACAATGGGAGGACCAACTACTACTCTTTTACATACAAAGACCGAAATCATAACCTATCTCCTTTAAAACCAAGCGAGGTACATGAAATGAAAAACCACATGGCTAAGGAGAGCGAGGTAAGTAAGACTAATCTTTTTATTAAGACAT